CAGTACCTGGCTCAAAGGCAGCTCAACTTTTGAACAGTTTTCCTGTTACCGCCGCGAATTATCCTAAAGCTATCGAGCAGCTGAAAGAAAGATTTGGTAGAGAAGACCTTCTGGTGCAGATCTATGTAAGAGATTTGCTTGGGCTTGTTACAAAGAATGCTACAACAGGCAGAACGGCGTCGGACTTAGGAGTACTTTATGATAGTATAGAAAGTAAATTACGAGCGCTGGAAAGCTTAGGACGCACCAAGGAAAAGTTTGCTGATTTCTTAGGACCTTTAGTGGAGTCGTGCCTACCTGAGAATATTTTACGTGCCTGGGAGCGGAGTCGAACTTCTGAACAAGGACAGGAAAAGAGTTCTGAAAGAACGCTTGAAAAACTAATGTGTTTTTTAAGGCATGAAGTAGAATCGGAAGAAATGATTAGATTAGCACAATCAGGTTTACTCATTCTGTTAAGCGTCTTTAAAAATGTTATTTCAGGTAATTCAGATTTAGCAACAGCTGCCGCGCTGGTAAGTACAAATGAAAACCAGTAAAGGTAAGCAAAATGTTTGTATATTTTGTGGTAAGCCTCATATGAGTGCTAAGTGTTTTAAAGCTGAAAATATGAGCTTAAATGAAAAGAGGCAACTTGTACAAAAGAAGGGTGTTTTGTTTTTCATGTTTAAGAATTGGCCATTTAAAAACCAATGTAAAGCCAATATTAAATGCCCCATTTGCAGTTGTGATCATATAAAATTTATGTGTCCTCAGAATGTTAGATCTGTAAAACAAAATGACTCTAAGTGGATGTTTCCCTTTCTAATAATAGTAAGAGCGAGAAAGTTTATTTGCAAACTTTATGTGTTCTAATTAAAGTTAAAGATCGAGAGAGAAAATTAGGATTCTCTTGGATTCGGAGATCCCAACGATCCATACGTTGGGGAGAAAATTATGAAGCGAAATGAAGGCTGATCCTATTCGACAGGAGAAAGTAATTCATGGTTTGTGTTGGGGGGAGGGAAACTGCGCCTGTAACCCATTCTGTTTTTTGCTATTGACATAAGCAGTTTAGATAACACTTTTAGGTGTTGTTTTGAAGCTTTTTCTGAAAAAAAGATATGTGGATTTTGTTCCAACAATCAAGAGGATGCTCAGATTATAGAGGAATTGAAAAGCAGGAAAATTGAGGTCAGTGACACATTTTGCGAGGAAAGTGAAATTGATTTATTGATAGGTGCAGATGTCATTGGTAAACTGTTAACTGACGAATACCTAGAATTACCCTCTGGTTTAACTGCAGTCAAAAAACAAACTGGGTTGGACGGTTATGGGTAAAGAAAATGATACTGTCAGGGATAATGCCCTAATAAGTCTTTCCTTGCATGTAAATAATGCTTCTTTGAAATCTTTATGGGAGCTTGAAGTTTTGGGTATTTCCGACCCGACGGAAAATAGTAGAACGAAAAATCTTCATTGCGACTACGAGATTGATTTTCAGAATAAATTATCTATTCGGCCCGATGGTAGATATGAATTAGAATTACCCTGGAAATGCGAATCTACCAATTTATCAGATAATAAAAGCATTGCTTTGACACGTCATCAAAAATGATAAAGAGGGCAAAAGAAAATAATTCTTTGAAGGAATATCAAGAAGTGTTTAGAGAGTGGGAAAATTTAAATATTATAGAAAAGGTTCCGGAAAAGGAATTAAACAATAAATGCCACTTTTTACCACACAGACCGGTTATTAAGATGATAGTGAAAGCACTAAGGTAAGACCCGTTTTTTTGATGCTTCATCTTGTGAAAAGGGAAAACCATCTTTGAATCAGTGTTTATTGAAAGGACCTAATTTAATAGAATTAGTCCCTGATATTTTAGACAGAATGAGATTTTTTCCTATTGGTCTGAGTGCAGACATAGAGAAAGCATTCTTGCAGTTAGGAATTTCTCCGAAGGATAGAGATTACTTGCGATTTTTCTATCCAAGTGATGAGGGAGAAATAGTGTATAGGCACTGCACAGTAGTTTTTGGGGTTTCCTGCAGCCCTTATCTACTAGGTGCGTCTATTAAATATCTCTTGAATAATTGTCCATCTGACTTTTTAGATGTGGCTGACAAATTAAAAAATTCGTTCTATGTAGATAATTGTATTACGGGTGTTTACAATATTGAGGAACAAGAGGATTAATTAATTCAAAAGGCCAAAAGTCTTATGTCGAGAGGCAGATTTAATTTAAGGGGATGGGAGAGCAATGTTGCTTCCAAATATACTACAAAACATTCTGGGGACACACCTCTTTTAGGAATATTGTGGAATTTAGACAATGATACTTTAAGGTGTAATATAAATGTAAATATGATAACTTGTGATACTAAGGCAACTAAGAGACTGATTCTGTCTATTGTACAATCAATTTTTGATCCAATTGGAATACTTGCACCAATAACTTTGCTTCCAAAAATTTTGTTACAAGAAACATGGAAGTTGAAATTTTCTTGGGACGAGGTATTGCCTCATGATTTTGTAAGTAAATTTTTTGTGTGGTTATCTGATATACTTTTGTTGAAAAATGTGGCAATACCCCGATTCATTGGAACCTTTGCAACAGTTGAATTGCATGTATTTGTCGATGCCTGCAAATATGCTTATGCAGGATGTATTTTCGCGAGAAGTGTTGATTCAGTGTAGTGTAAAAATTACTCTCTTAAGAGTAATTTTTACACTTTTAAATCTAGAGTAGCTCCTATTAAGAATTTGACGATTCCTAGATTGGAATTAATGTCCTGTTGCATTGGATTTTCCCGATTATTATATTCTGTTTGTAAAGCTCTTCAATGATTTTGATATAAATGTAACTTTATGGTGTGATTCCACAGTCACATTATGGTGGATCAGAAATCCTGGTAATTGGTCGACTTTGTAAGCAATCGTGTTAAAGAAATTACTAAGTTGATAAAACCTGAATCATGGAGGCATGTGCCTGGTAATATGAACCCAGCAGATGTGTTATCTCGGAGGTTGCTCTGCTAAACAAATGATTAACTCGGAGTGGTTTAAGGGACCTTTCTGGCTAAGAGAAAGCCTTTGAATTTTGGCCTACCAATATTGTTTTGTCAGCCGAGCGAAGCTGACTTGGAAAAGAGGAAGGTAAAACTTATTAATGTTAACTTTTCAGAGGATACCACTCCTTGGTATGCAGAAAGAGTTTCTGATTATGAAAAAATGATTCGTGTAACCGGTTGGGTGTTACGTTTATTTCTAACTGTAGGAAGAAGTCAAATTTGTGTAAAGAATCTAAACTAACTGTTGCTGAAATCATAAATTCCGAAAAAGTTTTGATTCGGTTGGTTCAAAGCTCAAATTTCCCTGACATTGGAGCTCTTAATCCACTTGATGTATTCATTGATATGAAAAAAATTATAAGAGTTAAAACTAGAATATTGGAACGCAAAGACAATTCTGAATTTTTTAACACCAATTTTGTTACCGAGTAAATGTATCTTTTACTACATTGTTAATTGAGTCAGTTCATAAGAAACATTGTCATGCTGGAACTCAAATGCTTCAATCTATTTTAAGAGAAAGATTCTGGATACTAAAACAACGTAAAACTGTGCGTAATGTGTTAAAAGGGTGTGTAATACGTCAACGATATAAAGCGAAACCGATGTCTTGCGAAGTGACTCCTCTTCCTGAAGATCGCGTAGGAGATTATAGGGCTTTTGAAATTTTTGGAGTAGATTTAGCTGGCCCATTGTTTTTGAAAACGGTAAGAAGGTTTGGATGGCACTCTTCACATGCGCTGTGTACAGGGCAATCCATCTAGAACTGGTGACTTCGTTATCAACAGAATCTTTTCTTTTGGCTTTAAGACGATTCATAGCCAGACGTGGCAGACCACGAACCATTTATTCTGACAATGGGACTAACTTCCGAGGAACTTATAACGAAATGTCTAAAATGGGACATAATAGAGAATGAGGCAAAAATAAAGAGAATAGTATGGAAATTCAATCCACCAACAGCCTCCTGGTGGGAACGGCTAGTTCGCATGGTTAAAGAACTTTTAAGACGCTCTTTGGGAAAATCGGTTTTATCTTATGAAGAACTGGAAACTTTAATTTGCGATTGTGAGTCGGTAATTAATTATATGTTAAAGTCGACCCTTTAACATATATTTCGGAGAACTCTGAAGATGCTATCCCTTTAACTCCGTCAATGTTTTTACATTGAAAATTGTACTTTCGAATGTAGCAGATATAGATAAAATTGACTCTCAGCATTTTTTTAGAAGAATTAAATACCGCACAAAACTTCTTAAGATTTAAGGAACCGTTTCCGAAAAGAATATTTGGGGCAATTAATAATGAAACAACCACAAAAATAAAGTAACCCGGTTGCCTAAAATAAATTGGGGAGATAGTCTTAATAGGCGATGATTTCAAAAAAACGCTTGTATTGGCCTTTGGGTAAAATTAGAGAGAAATTCCTGGTCGGGATGGCAAAGTTCGAACAGTTTAAACTAAAAAAACTCAGAATGGGATTTTCATAAGGCCCGTTCAGCGTATTTATCCACTAGAGATACAAATAGATGAAAATAATTTATTTGAAGAGCCTAACGTTAACGACGATAAGAAAACGATCAGACTGACGTACAGCATATAAAACAGAAATTTACGTCGTCAGGACGGCTTGTTAAGAAGCCTAATGTACTAGATCTTTTTAATAGGATAACATATGTTTTTGAGTCGTTTGCCACTGACTCAAAAAGGGGGGAGGATGTTGCATAATCGAGAAAATATTGTTAAGAATTTTATTATTACTATTTTTTATTATTATTGTCTATTTTTCAAAAGTGTGTTTTTGTTTTATTATTGTGTGAAGTTGTAACTATATGTCTTTTCTTGTGTGGCAACAACGCTTCTGTAATTCTTCAATTTGAACTTTAGGATGTGTGCCAAGTTTGATGGCGTAATGCTCTGGTGAGAGCGTCGATTGATTGTGTAAATGAAACATGTTGTTTCAGAACGTTATTTCTTTAAAATGTGTAAAATAAATGTTTTGTTTTCTGAACTCGGATTATGCAAACGTTATTTAGTTTCAACATTTAGGAAAACCCTACTCATCTTAAATAAGTTAACAGTAAATAATAATAGTATTAATAAACAATCAAAAGCTAATTTCTCACTTATCCCTAAACTTCTATATCAAAATGAAAGATATTTATTTATTTCTCCTACAAGGTTAGGTATTCAAGACCATTTAATTACCTCAGTTTCAGAAAATCTTCAACTTACCAAGTTCATATATGTGAAAATTTATATGCAATCCTACTTTTTTCCCCCTTACAAAATATCTAAACAAATGCAGGATCATCCGACACGTAAGGCCATCTAAATTTTGGGCCAATATGGTAAAAAAGCACTACCAGATTGTATGGTGCAAGAATTATTGCCTTTAAACAGTTATACCCATCAGTAGGCCTGTTGACTGTATACATTCAGTGGCTAAGCTAATAAAATACATTATCACTGAGCACAAATGTCAGGCCATGAGCATATTTACACAGTTTAACTATCTTATTTCGCATGAGCAAGCTCAGTGTTTTCATTAATTTGCATTTCATTTCAATAAACAATAAGATTCAAGGACAAATAATTTAAATCATATTTAGAATGGATTTTAACTGCTGTTGGTGTTTTCAACTGCCAAAATTGTTTGCAAAGATAATTTGAGGAATTTTTGTTTTTTATTTTAGTAAAAATTTTCCAATATTGGATAAACCTATACTGCATAGCTGGCAGAGCAAACATGCATCTTAAATTGGTCTTTCTGCTCATAAAAGTTTGCCATGGATGCCATGGCAAATACTATTCGTGTCTATATAAATTGATAAACTGAAGCATCACTTTCTATTTCTTGCAACTGTGACACCACTCACCAGAAATTTTAGAGTAATTACATGCTAAACAAAGCAAAACTTAACCTATACATCATCATCAATAAAAATTCCTAATCGTTTAACATCTTATTAGGAAAACTAGATAGTGTTATTAACTTGCATTGTCAGTTCCATTCCAACCTATATGCCATTCCATTTCATTGAAACCTTAACTATTATATTTCATCATCTGTAAAATATTTTGAAGATAGGTTTCATGAAAATTATGTAATCTCTGAAGAGTTACACTTCAAAAAAAGAAGAAAAAACATCAGCAATAGTATCTGCTGTTACCTGCAGCCAGCAAATGTTTTTGAGACTTAAATTTTGGAAAAATTGGCTCAGGCCTTATAATTTTGCGAATAAAATTGATTCTATTCTTGTTTAAAAATTCATCAGCAATATCTTCAACAATAATTGAGTCATCCTATGTCTACAGTGTTTGCCATTGACTTGAGTCATTGTATGATCATTCAAATGACACACAAAACAAGAATCAACAGAACGTTTACATATATACATATTCACATACATGCACATATCAAATCTGACATTGATCATTTCATACATATTTACCCTATATTAAAAATGAACAATTTTTAATTAAGGTGAATGATACATAAAATAAAGTCGTAAATCTATGAATAAATAACTATATAATAGAAATATTTATAAAAAACACATATGAAAGTTTAAAACAATGACTTTTCCATTTCTACATGTAAATTTTAAACCAGTTCCTTTTTCTGCATATATCATATTCAAATGATGTAAATTATCATATTAACATATGTACTAGAATTTAAATAATTATACTTTTTCCTTGCTAAACAGAATGTAATACAGAAGATGACACAGCAACTTATTCTTTTCTTCACAGTTAATGAAGAACTTTTAAGTTCACATTTTCAAGGAAAAAATTTTAAAATAAAATACCACAGGTTATTTTCTCAAATTCTGCAATCAAAACAAACTGCTAGATCCCATAAGGATATACATACTTAAAGTTGAGCAACATTTTCAGTAAAGAAACTGATTCTTCCACATAATTCTGAAGATATGTAATTTCAAATTTTCAAATCAAGATAAAAAGTTAGCGAGAGGATGCAGAATTTCTAACTTTCAAAATACAGTATTAGGATTGAAAAGGACTCCCATCTGAAATAGAAATTTAAAAAACAGTCACTAAAGCATCACTAAAAACGTATAAATGACCTTTGAACTCAGAGAAAAGTTCAACTACAAGCATACATGAATCATGACATTTTCAAGTTTGCACACACAGAGAATAACAGACAGGCATTTTATCAAATTGAAATTAAATACAAAATAATAATCACTATACTACGTTGACAAATTTGATGAAATTTTCAAAAGTTGGATAACTATATACTTTTTGATAAAATTTTCAGATTAATACAGGTGTGAGAAATTTATGTTTGTTTGTATTAGTTGTTTTATAAGTTTGTTCATAGCACATCTACAGAAATATGAATTTAAACACAAATTCTAGGCAGTCACTACATACATTTCATGCTTTCTAAAACTTTATTACTGAAATCCATATTTAACACACAGTCTGCTCTTTCAGTTTAATTTGTCATCCTTTATATATTTAAATGCAAGCCTCTGTTCATCAAGCATTATTTTGCTCAACTTTCATACGTGATATATATTTCATTACTTATATTTTTCAGTGGCCAAAGTTTAAGAAAAAGAAAGATTTATACTTTGATGATTTTTCAGTTTTCTGCAATATATTTCTAACTTGCAGAATGCAAGCTGATACCTCCATAAATAAAGATCAAAGCATTTTTGCTCATACTTGACAGACTGTTCAATGATATATCTATTCAACAATACTGGAACAAAAATTGATGAATAATGTTTTCTCTGTTTGCTCTTGAAGATAGCAACTTCTAGAACTTAATGTATCTCTACTCCAAATTTAGCTTTATGTGATTCTGAAATACAAACCCCATAGTTTAATTACTTTCTACATTTGTGAACAGATACTTTTTCAAGGTTCCTCTGCAGGCTGTGATCTTGATGAGGTGCATGGACAGAAAAAAGTGCACAATATGGTTTTTAATCTTCTAATATTTTTCAGGAGTTCTAAATAATTTATATGCATTTCTCCTAAACATGTTTGGCTATCAATATAACTATTCTCAAATCTGAAAATTACAGAAAACTAATGAATTTCTGCAATTTATTGGCAAAGACATATAAGGAAATGTTATATAAAAATACTCACTGAGAAGTTCGCTAAACAGCAGATCACAAGATCGGAAAGCTATTTTTTAATTGCTTCTATTTCAACAAGTACCCATGTGTACAGTTTCTTTAAAACTACGTCAATAAGTTTATATTGTAAATTGCTTAAACCATCTTTCTTGAATCTGTATTTTCCTTTGTAAAGTTTATTATACCTGCAATATGTAAATAAATAATGTTATATTTTTCAGAAGTAATGAAAAAGTCAGCACTAAGCAATTACTTAGAATTGCACACAACTGACAGATTTTAACACATTTTAATTTTTCAAAAAGAGTAAACAAAAAGGGGGAGGAAAGCTTCAGCATCTTCCCCAACTGAAAAAAAAAAAAAAAAAGGCTAATTGCAAAAGTAATCATAAAAAATTATTATAAATTTAAAAGAAAAATATAAATACTATAGAACTATACGACAAAGAAATGTAGATACACTTAATAAATCTGAATTAACAACACTAACTCTGCATTTAAAGTTAATATTGTCATTAATTGGATCATTTTACTTCAGATAAGGGTTGAGTAAAAAAATTTTATCCATGCTTTACATCTTATGTTCAAATCTCTCTATATATAATAATTTACAAAGTTTGATTGCATACATGTTGATCCATAATGAAGAAAAACGTAGAAGTCATGAAGATACATTGTACAGGCAGAATGAATAAGGTGGCAGTCCTGGCAGATTTAAATATTTCTTATTTTAACTAACATTTGCAGCCACAAATCATTTGGCATACTAATCCTATCTGTTCCAAAACCTTTACATATTTTATATCATTGTAGTAAGCAGCAAAGGAGTGGCAAAAAGTGGAAAGCAAATGCGATGTTTTGGTGACAAAAATCTTAATTGAGTGAAAGACTTTCAATTTTAATGTCATTTCACTGGCTAATTAATGAAGCTTTAAAATGATTACTGAGTTTCAGTTTGCAAAATCACTTACCACACTAGAATTATGAGGAATTCATATGATGGCAGATATTAATTTTGAAATCATGCAGTTTAGAAAGCTTTACTGTAAGCAATTACTATTTTTAGAATAGAAGGCTGAAATAGTCAAATTAAAATGAAGAATGCGCTGTTGTAAATTTAAATTAAGAGTTTTGACTAATATATTTTTAAAAATTTAATGTGTATTTTTACACTAGATTAACTTGCAGAATGAAATTATTTTCAAATAAAGATCACATCAAAGTTTGAAAAAGGTGAGGAAATTGATACAAAATTATAAACCTTTAAGAAATCCAATTTCAAAATTTCAATCTAGACATCCCAAAATATTCAGCACTACAGATGCCTGATACCTTTTTAAGTTTTGTAAATTGTGTAAATGAATCCAATTATAAGCAAGCCAAGCTCATATTTGAACACATTCAACAAGTTAAAAAGTAAAGTTGCTTATCCTAATCATTAGATCTTTTATATATGCTGCATATAGAGCGCACGCACACACACACAATTGGATTGGATTATTTAATTATGGCAAAGCACACGAGGGCTATCTGCCTAAAGGGACGGATGCCTTCGTGGAGGACTTTCTAAGGGAAGCTGGCTCATATACGCGTTACACATGGAGAAAACCACAACGCCATGCAGCACCCTTCGCGGATTCGAACCTCGGACTAAACCACCAGTGTTCAGAGTCTTTACCGCTCGGCCGCTGGTGGGCCCACACACACACAAATAAGGAAAAAAAAAAAAAAAAAAAAAAACAAGCAACAATACCTACAGATCAATTTTCAGGAAACTTCAAACTGCAAATAAATATACAAGAAAGTTTTAGAAGACACTGCTTTTAGCTGAAGCAAATTCAGTGTATTTCATTGGTATGAATGGGGGAGGGCTAATAAAATGAAAAACGTTGTGCTCTTGGTTTCCATGCAAAAATGAGCTTACGGTCTGATGTATTCTTCATGATTTAAATAGATTTAACTATTTTCTTTTTATAAAATATTTTATCAAATATTTCTACATCAATACAACATTTTGCATTCATACAAGGGCAATTTGTGAAGTCCACGTAATTATGGTAAACCACCGTTCTTTTATCTTTTCAGCATCTTATACATTGAAGAATTTTTTCTAGACTTCATCAGTATATACATTCTTCTGCAAAAATATTTCTAGCATTTTGTTGCACATTAAAGAAAATGGTGCACCTGAAATTTCTTTTTTTTGGGGGGGGGCACTACTAAAATTTTTAGGTAATTGCAACGTTAATTTAAGTGAAATTCCTTTTTTCAACTGTTATCTAATTTCGCATGTTTTATTGTGGAAAACTTAGTTCACCCATCATCCAATCAAGTAATTACTCACACATTATATGCTCAAGACGCGAATCATGCTTCATTCAATATAATTCATGAATTATTTATTTCATTAATGTGAGTAGCATTATGAATTAATTATTCACTCACATTAACTGACTGCCCACCTTATGTAAATAAAGGTTTATTTCATATTGTGTATTTCAAATTAGTAGACATTTTTTCACTTTCATATATTACTAGAATAAAACACTATCACAAAACAGATTTTCAAAGTAGAATGGAAAGATATTTTCCCTTTCATGAATTTGACCTGTGAGGGAACTAGAGGAAGTTTCTATTTTGAAACTAAAGTTAATAAGTTAAAAAAAAAAAAAAAAAAAAAAAAAAAAAAATCAATGTCTGAGTTGTAAGACATCTCTTGAAAGCACTCATGGTTTAACTACAGAGACAGGCATATGAGGATTAGGAAACTGATGGCAGCTTTTAGGTTAGGAAAATAGTTTTCCTCAAAGGTAATAACAGATTCAATACAATATCTAAACACATTTCAGATAATCCAGAATGCTTAAATGTAACCTTGAAATAACATGGCAAATGGACCTTTAAACACATATTGTCACTTCACTGTTGTGATTAAAAATATGTGGTTTTTATATGTTCGAAATTAACTCCTTTCACCTTGCAAGTTACACAAATAAATACTGTTGAATATTATCTAGGATGAAAACAGAGATTTGAATTATTTTGACAAAATATATTTTGAGTGATGACTTGTAAAAACCTAGAACTTAATTACACAGGTTATTAACAAAAACCCTATTTTTTCCAGTGCTAAAAATTTATAGCTAGTTTCAGAATCACAAATATAATACAAACTAGTAATATTGTTTTAAATGTTTCAGGTAATCTTAAATTTTTTTAAGAGAGGCCACACCATCTAATGAGAGCAAACTACTCTTGAAACACAATGTAACACTAAATTTATGATACTATAAATATGCAACTCTTATAAATAACACTATATTGCCCTTAATGATTCAACATTCACTGGAACATTAGGAGTACTACCCATTTATCATTACCCCCTACAAAAAACTGGAAACCTCATAGTAGATATGTATTCTAGGTACTGCTAATTGAAATGAATTCATGATGAAAGGAGACTCAATGTGGCATAATGATCAGTGAACACAAATTCAATCATTTCATTATGAGGTTCTTGGCCAATTCTATTCTAGATATCACATGAAACAATGAATGACACAGCAGTGAAATGGAAAGATGTGGGAATTAAAATACATTGCCCCTAAACAAAAAAAAAAAAATTATGCAGTCAACCTACCTAAACCTGATTTCAGACACTAAAACCTACATGCATGATGATTCTCAGTATCTTAATAAGAGTGTTTGAATGCATGCAAATGAATGGTTATGAGACTAAGTTTTCAAACCTGCCCATTAAAATATTCCTAAAAATCTGAAATTTTAAATGAAAGAACATTGTAATAGGATTCCTGGGGCAGAAACTATTTCCCCCCCTTATTTATCAAGTTACCGGTTACAAAGTTTATAAGTCATATTAGCACGTGATAATGGCTGTTCTAAAAGAATCAATTTAAATTGAAAAATTAACTGATTTCAACTATTTTACATGAAAGTTTTGAAAAACTTCTAATATAAGAAGAATTACATATTGCAGTATTTGATGAACATAAAACAGTGATAGTTCACTAAGGAATGACCAAAAAAGCAAAAAACCTTTTATTGGCTTCAATATTCTTTATTCACAAATCATAAATGTTTTGTATAATAAATCTGCGAAAGTATGGCAAAAATTTAAGCCAGTTCATGAACATGTAAAATTAAACAAGCTACTTCTTTTTAGAAAAAATGTATTCCATTAGCTGTTCTGAAAGTTGAAAAATGCATGAACATAATGGCAGTATTAGAACTAGTGGAAAAATTGCATAGTATAAGTAAAAAAATTAAATTAATTTGATAGAATTTTAGTATGTTCTTTGTTAAATTCTTACACTGCGTTTATAACTGCTACTAAGAGTACATCACAAACTGAACTATAATTACAATATTCAAAGAAACTCAAGCACAATATGTTAAAAACAAATTAATATATAAATACAGTAGCTATTTTGAAACTAGGCAAGTTCATTAAGTATAATTCAGTGCTCTAAAAGATAAGAGTGGGGCTAAATCAAAATATAAAGTTAAAAGATATTGTAATTTTTGTCATAAAAATAACCACTTTAGAAGTAAGTGTTTTCACTTATTTCTCAAGTGTTTAAAATTAAAGGCTAGAATTTTTTCAAAAACATATGTAAATAAAAGTGAACTGAGAAAATATGAACAAAATCTTAAAAATAAATCATGCCCAATAGCAAATATGAAAACAGTAAAAAACATACAATGAAGTTAAGGCAAAGGCAGTAAGCATCTTCAGGACAGTGCTGATACTGGGAATTCGCAAGTTTAGTTAAAGCAAGCTCTAAAAGGTAGAACATATATATATGAAACAATAGTGCAAGAATGGATCATTGATTCTACAGCTTCAACTCATGTGACAAGTGATATGAACTTCCCCTGCCCTCAACTAAATAAGGGAAATAAACAGATACTAACTGCTGCCAATAGTGCTAAAGTAATTTCTAATGTATCAGTGAAGGTTGTCTTGAATTTCGACTTGAAACTGTCATATTACCCAGACAACATTAGAAAAATGCACTGTATGTATAAATAGTAACTTACATTTAGTTCAATCATGTATGAATAAAGGTTGCATAGTTACATTTAACAGTAATAAGTGTACTATTAACAAGAATAACATAGCTTACAGTAGAATTCAATAAGACTTGTTATATGTCGACTGCAGGTTCAGAGAGAAAACACTTTTTGGCTTATGCAGCATGATATTCTAACATAAACTGCATACTAAAATGGCACCAGAAGTTAGGTACCAGAAGTACACAGGCAATTCAAATGCTTGAGAAAATGATTTAGCAAATGGAATTAAACAAATGTACTTACAGCATAGCTAGGTTTTATTTATTTGATTATGGCAAATCACTCAAGGGTTATCTGAGGGGTACCTTTGTGGAGGACTTTCTATGGGATACGCATTACACATGGAGAAAACAACCAGCCCATTTGCTGGGATTTGAATCCTGGACCAAACTACTAGTGTTAGCAACTTTACTACTGGTGAGACAACTCCCAGTACAGACTATCAGACTTGCAGTTAATTCAATAGAAGAACCATATCTAAAAAAGGACTTTATATATTATAATACTTTGCTTTGATTTTAGTGCATACGGATATATGAGGGCCAGTGGAAGTAGAAAGCTTAAGAGGCAAATAATATTTTGTAAATTTCATTGATGACTATTTGCAATACACTGAAATTATTTTACTCTTTCAAAGGATAAAATGCTGGACAGACTTAATGAGTATATTGCAACGTAAAATTTAAAAAGAAAATAAAAGTTCTAAGACCTCATAATGGTGCAGAGTACTGTAATGAATCTAGTGAAAAGTGCCTAAAGGAACTTGGTATTTCATCAGACTTCATTTCATTAATTTCCAGCTCAAAATACTGTTTGAAGATATGAAAAATCTTTCATTAATAGAGAAATTTATCAGAGTTACTTGGAGCACAATATATCATAATCACTGATGCACTAAATCATTTCTTTGGCATACAAGTCTCCATTCCATTGTTTCAAATAAATAAATTAATATTTGTATTTTAAAGTAATAGCTTTCATACTATTATAAACGGTTATATCAAATTATTCTTTAATTTTTTTAACATATGAACAAGAATGTAACACAGAAATACCAAAAATTCTATTCAGAGATTTAATAAATACATAAAGCAAATGCTATACATAACAGTATAAAAAAATAACTTTTTACATACATCAAAAGTACTAGTTCTTCGACACTAACATACAATAAAAAGCCTTTAAAATTAAATTTTTAACCTCATACCTATCTGGATTAGGTTCATCCTTCTTGTGCTTCAACATAGTATATCGAGCTATTTTAGGAGAATATCTTGAAATTTTCAATCCATGATGCCGTATTCTGAAATACAATTGGGAAAAATGCAATAAATAATTTATACTAAATAGAAATAATAAATATACACAATATCTAAAACTTTTTAATATTACCAAGTAGACACTTATTTATACATTAGAAAATAAAAATTTAATTACAGAGATTCCAGCTCTTGAAGCTTTACTTTTAAAAGGCATAATTTCATGGACATTACACTAATTCTTTTTACATACCATTATCTCGTGAGATAATTCGATCATACCTTAATTTTTTTATTAAAAATTGACAACTAACAAATACAATATGCACATCTGAAGAAAGAATTCCGAACTAATTTTAAAAACACACAGTCAGAAATGCTTAGGAAAGAAAATATAAATATTTCAGACCCCCCCCCCCAAAAAAAAATCACATGAAACTTTATGAAAGAGTATAAAGTGATCAAACACCTTTAATAAATAAAATAAAGGGCTTTCTTTAGCACAGTTGCAATTGATGATTCTGCATTTCTTTTATAACAAAGTTCCTTTTATTCATTAAATCCAGACCTGATCACTCCAGACTTTAAAAACAAAACCATAAATACTTTATTTCACATAGATACTTTATTTACACACACACACACACACACACACAAAAAGGGAAAGCTTTCAGATTATAATATTTTCCGCAAGGGTTTTTTTTTTTCTTTTAAACTTTTTGTGTGTTACCTTTATTTATTAAATATCACGTTCTTCGGACATAAAGCATTATTTTATGATTTACAGATGTTATAGTCATTACTATTAAAGTGCTTTTTTAGTTTACTTTTTTGCCTCTAAATTTGTGCATACTGTTGCATAAACTTAATTTTCTAAATAAACTGCCAGATGGTAAGAAAAACTTGGATTTTTATTTAAACTTCCAAATGATTAAATTTGATGCAATTTATGAAAGTTTAACACTGCTGAAACTACCAGTAATTCCTTCTATCAAAAAGAATCAAATTTAGTTTCAAGGCACCTGCTGTACAACAGAAATGCAGGAAAGTACATCTTAAAAACAGAGGTGTAAAATATGCACCAAAATCTCAAGCTTGTTCATTGAGTTTGAAAGCTACATTCACTGCCTCCTTTACGGCCATACCCAATTTTCTACCTATACAATACAGCACGGAAGGGACCAAATTTTTCTTTTTGGTCTCACTGTCAGTAAGCTTCTAAATCGAAAATTCCATATAGTTACAAAGGTAACTAATTTTAGCAACATTTTACCAAATACATGTAATTAATCACATATAAGGAAAACTGCAAGATGTGATATTTTCAGCTTTACTGAGCCTATTTGCATGCTCTAAATAGCTACACGCATAAACTACCATGAAATAAAATTGCACAAAGAATTGCATATATAAACACAAAACAAATATATATAAAACCATCTTTTTCTTCAATGGCTCGACAGCCCTGGGTGAATCCTGGCCTTCTCCAGGCATCTCTACTTTTGGCAACCGTTTTCCAGTTTTTAACCTTTAAAATATTAAGATCTTTTTCAACACAATCAATCCATCTTAGCGGAGGTTTGCTCCGAGGTCTATATCTCATGGGCTGCACCAACAATCTTCATTCATTCTAGCCAATTTAAGTCTCTGTAGTTTGACGAATTTTACAATATTGGGTTGTTTGTAAATTTTATAGAGTTCTAAATTAGATCTCCATGATCCATTTACTTGGACCCCATCAAGAATGCAACGCAATATCTTTTGCTCAAGAATTCCCACAACTTCCTCATCATGTAAAGTCAATGCCAAAGTCTCTGATGCATAAGTCAAGACAGATCTTATAAGACTTTTGTAAAGACATAATTTAGTTCTTAATTTAAGAAAGCTGGATTTTAAATAACTCTTCTGGGCATAAAACATCTATTTGCAGCAATGATTCATAACTGATAAGTCAGATTTTAAACAAGGTAAATATTTAGTTTTATTTTCGTTTACAAATAATTCTTTTAGCACTTTGTTCCAATGCCATAAATGCCTGTTTATTAACACGTATTATGATGTATAAACATTTATTCTAATATTAAAGAAACTCCTTTTAATATCTGCAAAATATGTATAAATAAGCTTTAAGTCAGATAAATTGTGGCAAAGCAAGATAAAGACTTGGGAAGGAATAACTTTCACAAAAACAAACTTAGCATACCTTAATTATTGCACTCTGTAGGTACTGTACTCTTGTGGTTTTTTTTTTTTTTTTTTTTTTTACAAGGCTAGAATAATTCTGCAATCAGCCAGTTATCAGCAGCATTTAGCCAACATAATATGCTTTCTTTTATGTCTGTGGCATATTCTGGTACTTCAAAGCTTTTTATTATATTGAAATTAGGCAAGATGTCAGTTAATAGTTATCAGATGGCCTCTATGTATTCAGGGGTAACACTACATGTATCGTCCACGTCTTCAAAAGACTACATGTGATATTACCCATTGTTTAAATCAGATGACTCGCAGCATTCCTTTCCAAAAAATATCGACAGTATTTCTATAAACTTCTTATATATAATAAACTAGTAATTTTTGTAAACATTCAAACGTTTTTGTTAGTACTGTTATCAATTACTGAATTATTACGCTGAAATTAGGATATTATCCTAATAAACCCTCAATTGTCTTTAATATTAAGAGCAATAGAAAAAGTTATCTACACCTCATTAAATTAATGGTTAGAAATGATTAATCTTAGTGAAGTTAGTTATACTGAATGCCAAGAGAGGCTGCAAATTAGTCCTTTTACATAAAAAATATTATCAAGTTACGAATTTCAAACACATGTCTTAATCAGAATTAAAAATATCACTCCAGCACATATCTGAATGACAAGAAAGTGAAAAGTTATACTATATGTAATAGTATGGGTCAACAAACTTTATGCATAAAAAATCCATGCAACTGCAGTTTACAGTATATATACTGCAATTTGCAGTTGCATGGATTTTTTATGCAGTATATTTGAATATCAATCAAAGTGTGATATCAACCATTTGCAGTCCCTTATTAAGCATTGGATCAGTTAATAGACACTATGGTCAAGGGTAACCTCAGGCAAAAAATGCATCAGAAGGTTGTTTTCTGCCATTATTGATTGAAAGAAACCATAAAGTGACTACAAGAAATTTAGATCTTCAAAAGTGCCACTAGGCTCCCGAATCAGCACTCTATTGCTGCACGAAGGCTTAACAAGATTGCACCATATGCAAGAAAACCAATGGTTTGTCTTCCACTCACTCTAGCTTCCAGACAGGCCCATTTAAAATGGAGCCAGGAAAACTGAGCCAGAGTATTGTTTAATGCAGAATCCAGATATAGTCTGAACAGTAAATCTAGACATGTTTTGATCTGGAATGGGCCAGAGTATTGTTTAATGCCGAATCCAGATATAGTCTGAAGAGTGATTCTAGATATGTTTTGATCTGGAAAGAAGGAAATAATAACTTGCCTTCCCTTCTTTATGACATAACCCACTTCTGTGACTGCGGTTTAATGGTTTAGGGAGGAATCGTGACGTGTGGCTGCAAGGAGCTGCATATCCTCTAAGGAGGTTCTGTAACTGTTCATAGATATACGGATGAGGTATTGGAACCCCAAGTAAAGACTGTTTAGGGGTGCTGTTGGCCCAGAGGTTTTGCTAATGGATGACAATGCTTGGCCTCATCAAGCATATGTGGTGTCAGAATACTTTTAAACAGTAGATATCACTCGAGTGGACTGGCCACATTATTTACCCGACTTGAACCTGACTGAGCACGTGTATGATGACATCACCATGCCAAATTCCAGCCCAGACTTTTAAGAGGTGAAAAGTGCACTTTTAGAAGAGTGCCATACAATTCCACAAGACTTGATCAATGCTTTGGTAAAGTCTATGAAATAAATATGAGAGGTTTGCATATCTTGTTTGAGGAGACTATTTTTCCATCTCTTTCCAGTTTCCATAAAGTTGGTTTTAATTTCAATACTTTGTAAATAATCAATTGCTAAACATTGGAATTTATGTTAACTAATGCTTTTGTACATATTTCTATTAATAATTTTTCATTAAGTATCAGTTACATTTCATTTCTGCCATTACTCTTTAATTTTGATGACTAGTGTGTGTGTGTATATATGTGTGTGTGTGTGTGTGTGTATATATATATACACGTGTGTGTGTGTGTGGTATTTTAATTGCATAGGAGGCATCTGGTACTTTGAACAGCTTGCAGTCGTCATGGCCGAAGATGAATATTTTGATGCACTGCAACTTGAAGTCTACATAGTTAGATAGATGGATGCATAAATCACAAGCTTCCAGATGTAGCCATTTCAAAACATAATTTTATTCCATTATTATTCACATTAGATCATTTTTGTAGACAAGGAATTTATCCCATCATACTTACATATGAAAATTTTTTATGTACACTGATTTTAAAAGTATGACGTAAGCATTTTAGATAGGACAGCATAAGCAGCACAGAGTTATTTGCAGTGTAGACATTACGAAAAGGAATGGCATAGTTGCTTGCGAAGAGTATTTATACCAAGTATGGTGCATAAGTATAGTTAATCTGTGATTGGTTAATTTTAGGTTGTAATGTAACATGGAAAGATCTCAAATTTCGGACAACAGACGAATTCAGGGAGGAGAATACCAAATTTAGAATAATTTTGAAGTTGCAATTATTTCTTAGAGTAACCATCATGTTTTGTTGTATCTTACACACACACACACACACACACACACACACACACACAAACATATATGTGTATAAAATAATTGGTCTCACGGTTGATGTTCAGCTGGATGAGCTTAATGGCTGTATTTTTGTATATTACCCTTAACATGAAGCAAATAATTTGGTGTACATACTCAGCTTTTTCTCCGAGATTGTGACACCTCCGAGACAGTCTTATACATTCTAAAGAATATTCCCCTGGCTTTGGTATAGAATGGAAATGTTCATGTCTAGACAAAGATGTATGCCCTTCTTCTCAGTTGGATGCAGGATAGGACCAAAGGATACAGAAATGTTTGTTTGAAAATATTCTAACACAAACAGACATCATAATGACCCTATCTGAGTAATTATAAGATGCTTAGAAATGCAGCAAGTGACAAATGAGCATTGAAACAAACTTTAGAATAGTTAGAGATTTCTTTGACTTCTGAATACCTGGTTGAGCCAATGGAAATGCAGGTTCAGATTATTAGTGGAGCAAAGATGAACCTACCAGATATGTAGTTGACTGCAATTCAGTGAACACAGTGTATGAAACCTTTTGATCATGACAACAAAACTGACTTGCATTTCTGATTTAAAGGCATTCTCATTTCTTTAGTTTGAAAATAAAGCAGATCACTTCTTTGGGGAAGTAACAAAACTATACATTTTAGGCATGAATGTTCTTGGAAAAGCCTCCTTGCCTGTAAAAACTTCAAATGCATTTATATATACATATAACCTGTTAAAAATTACTCATTTGCAATTTACGGTTGCAGGTACATATAAAATTAAAGCACAATTATGATTTTTTCCACCAGAAATATAGGCAAGTTCAAATGCAAGAGAAGAAGGACTTTATATCACTACTTCACTGCATAGCTAAAGCTCATTTAGACAATATCCAAGGGTTTCACAGTTTTCAGTTTATTACCAGAGTGTCTGTCGACACTATTTTCATATCAATCTGACTTGTCACTAGTTCTGATTCCAAAAGACAAAAAAACCATATATTTTCTAATTTCTGTTTCAATTAGCACATTTTACATTAGTAACTATTTTTACTTTTAACACAGCTCTTAAAAATTATTTCGTTGCATTAAGACAACACAGCAGTAATGACAATTACTAGAAACATACACTCATTGAAAAATTATCATAAATAAGAACTTAAGTATATAAAAATTCATAGTACTAAAACCTCAGAAATAATTGATCATATATTTTAGGTTTTACCTATTGGACATGTCATCATCTTCACCACCCCATCCCCAAAATTCATTTGAAAATCCATTTACAATCTCCATGTGCTTTTTTGTCAAGGCACTTACACCACCAAAAATGTCTTTATATGGCAACCTGGAAAAATACCAAGTTTTTAAGAAATCAAATGATAAAATGAATATGAAGTTTAACTCAATGATAACATTCTTACCTATAATTCATTGTATTTATTGCCACAGACATGTGTCTAGGTTGTTCCGGGCAGGTATACAAATTTCTGTCATCCTCTGGAATTAAGTCGACGTCATGAAATATAAAGCAATCATAATCATATTGCTTCAAGGCTTCAACATAACCTATATTCATTAACATTGCTCGATTGAATTTCATGTTAGCAGTCTGCAATAAACATATTTAAAAAAAACCTCAGAAAAAATGCAAAAAATTGATTTTGTGAATATTTTTACCATTTTATGCTTTAACAATAAAAAGATGACTATCATGCTATTTTGATGATTTTCCTTCCATTTTTGAGCACTATGTTTTTATTCATGCACTCTGACTGCTGAAGTTTAATGACTTTTAGAAATTTTATGAACTATACACCTTTACAAAACTTCACTCAGTTACAAAAAGGGGGAAAATGTTCAATACCTATGAAATCTAAAGCAGCAATTTTGATCGTATTAAGAAAAAAAGAAGAAATGTTTAAAACAACCCCATAAAACTGTTATATAAACATACACATCTGCATTATATTTATTGCGTAAATAAAAGTATGAAATATGTCCATATGCAGCATCTCTTGTAAGTTTTCCAAACTATGAAGTTGCAAGAGATGGAACGATACAGACATATATACATACATACTAATTTTCAAGGAAAGAAAAGATACTTGCAAGCATTGCCAGTAGAATAATTCTTATACTTCTTGACAAAACATTTATGCCTTTGTATATGGACATTCTTGATGTAGCACTGATAAATTGGCACAAGAGGACTGCTTACCCTTGAAGAACTTTAAAATTTTTAATATGTTGTGGTATGAAAAGTAGTAATAGCATCTAGCTAGCTAGAAATGCAGACAGTGAATGTGACATGTGAAAGTTTGGTTCAGAATAATTCTTTTATTTAACTTTAATCTCTATTGGTTGAAAGTTTCAATTCCCAAATCTGAAATTATTAATTGGCTGAAGTATTATGAAAGTCATTAGCTTTATGAAGAATAAGACAGTGATTACTTTTGAAATGACACACATTAGAAAAGTTTATTATAATCAATTACTATTTTTAGGACAAACAGAGATAATTTCCAAATTAAAAAAGAGAGTTAAGGGACTATTGCAAATTAAAGTTATTATTTTGATTTATTTATTTTTAATTTTCCATATATACCTACCAATAACTAGCTATGAAGTTATTAGCATCAAAATATAGGGTGATAATTTTCACCTGAACAGACATGAAGCTATGGAAATTTATCTCGCTGAAGGAAAGAAAAATAGTTTAAAATTTGATCTAGAGATGGCACTGTACTTGTCATAATAAATTAATTAAAAGACATGACATGTGCACCACATATTGGACTTACTAAAAGCATGGAGTACACACAGTTCCCATTCTACATGTAAGAAGCTCATCATGACTAAGCTCTGCTTGTGAAGCTTTTTCATGGTACCATGCTTCAGCTGCCTTAAAGAAATTTGGGACTTAATGGATAGTTTGTCATTACTCTGTCAATGAAGGATCGAGCTCTGCTTGTGAAGCTTTTCTATGGTACTGTGCTTCAACTGCCCTGATGTTCAGGACAATGGGAATAAGATGTGGCTCTGGTCCGATGCCTGTCAAGGATCTGTGGAAGACGATTTGTAAATTTGAAGAGACCGTTTTCTTTGATACGAGATCTGACAAAGGGAAAATAGTAATTGTTTCAATATTAGTGGAAGATGTGGCTATAGCACTGCAAGAAGAGACGAATGGTGTGAGAATATGCAGTAGAAGGGGAATTGGCTTTAGACATGCCTAACAGCACGGTTTATAAAATTTTACAAAACATCCTGTCATACTATACATTCAAAATTACACATGCTCAAGAGTTATTTCCTGCTGTCTTGGAAATACAACAAACTTTTACCCTGCAATTTCTTGATCAGATGGAAGTGGAAAATGGATTTCTTGCTCAAATAGAAGAGGATGGAATGTCTATGGAACATTTTGTAGGCAAATGATGCTCATTTCCATCTCCAAGGTTCAATCAAAACCAAAAATTGAAGACATTGGACCAGAGCTGCATCTCATATCCATTAATGCGTGGAACTTCTTCGAGGCAGTTGAAGCACACCGCCATTCTTGTACAATAAGCTTCATAAGCAAAGCCCTTAATTGACAAATTCACGATAAGCTTCTCATATGCAGAATAACGGGCACTGCATGTTTTGTTTTTATTAACTCTATTATGAGATATTCGGCTCACGTCTCATGCCTTTTAATTAGCATATTATGACAAGCACAGCAGCATCTACTTATTAAATTTTGAACTACTTTTTTTTCATCAATCAAATTGCTGTTGCTTCATGTAATTTGAGGTCCTTCTGAACAGGGTTTTCTTTTTTAACCATTTGCGCTAAAAAGACGTGCCATGCATGTCGAGATGCTTTTGTCTCAAACCGCGAGCGACGTGAACACCACATCGATAGGCATTTATCGCAAAAATGAAAATAATGTGGTACACACATCGCCTAAACAACGAGATTGTTTATTTCTCGAGTTACAGCTCTGGATTGCACTTGCAGAGATGGAGCGGCGTAAATGAGACACTTTACCGCTTGTTATATTGTAACGCATGGCACCGCAACCATGAAGTTTAGCACAAGTGGTTAACAGGCTTTTTAAAGTAAAACTTTAATTATAATCACCCTGTATATTACCAGAATCTGGTATAGTAATGACATATGCAAAGAGTCATGATGAAATGAAGGCGTTATGTATTCATTAGTTATATGTAGATCTATGAAAGAGAAAAATAATAAAATACACTGAACAGAAGCTCATCAGCAGTTTCAAAATGATAACTGGTCAATGTCACTTAAATTCAACCAGAGGTATATCCTGATTTTTAACACACAGCAAGCAGTTTAACATAATTTCCTAAGAAATTATATTAACGTGTGGAAGTTAGCATTATATGTGTTTCAAAGTTGGCTAAATTATTTTCATAACTTTATTGATTAATGCATAGCATATAAAAATAATGAAATACACATGATAATGTGGTTATCTCATGTTCAGATGTGAACACCACCAGCTGAAAGCATATTGTTTCGTAATAGCTGCCCATGCCACCACCTGATAACATTGCATTTACCATCAATTCTGGAAAGTTTGAGTATTGTGTTGTAGCTTGTGTTTTTATATGTGTAGCTTTTGTGCTTTTATATTCTAAAATCTGTGTTTATGTTTTAAGAAAGTTAATTATTTTAGCAATGTCTGGAGTCATGTCTTGTAGGAACCAATACTAAACTACACTTAGAAGTCCTACAATTGTGACCCATCTACATACATGAAGTTTCAAATTCAACTCAAAGCTTGGTTTTTTTTTTCAAGACTTCGTTTTCTTCATCTTATGAAGGTAACCATGGAGGAAACCACAGTGGTCCTGCATTGTAGTTTGCTATGTGTGAATCAACTTTTGCTTTAATGATATTAAAGATATTATGGATCCCAAGAAGAAATTCAGCTACTGTGTCACTCATTTGTCACTGGAGATTGCTTATTTGGTTCAAGACGTCACACATCAGGAGCATACTGATGCTTCTTTTCAAGACCTGAGCATTGTGGAGATAGTAGTACCCAGGAAATCTGGAAATTACTCACCAGGGGAGAAACCTAGAAACATAAAACTTGCTTTGTGTCATAAAAAGGCATAGTGAAAAACATGATATCCCCGACTCATTTTTAATGGAGTTGTTTATTCAGCAAATGCTGTCAAATGTTCAATCTATTCTTGCATCTGTCGAGCCATTCGATTCTTCGAAAGCTGGCAGTATTATGCATCAGATACTGGAAGTCACACCATGTCAGTTAAGCATAGTTTCTTCACCTGTATCAATCAATGTGTCTAATAATTTTAAACTAGATTCCCTGTTGGATGAGATCTGCACATTACATGGTGAGGTATTGTCTATGACGATCATGTCATGTTTCTAAAAACTGATTCAACAGAAAGTGAAGCAATTGAGGTAAAGCTGCTTCAAATTTTTCATGTTGCTGGCACCATCATACATTTAATGAGAAAGCTAAAAAATGTGTTCTTCCATATTTGTTTCAGCCATTATGATTTCCCTGGTTCAAGCATGCTGCTCTTTACCGTCTGACCTGCTCTTTACCGTCTGAGTCTTGTTGCATTTTTATTACGCACAGAAAGTTAAATAAAGTCTTTCTGTGTGACAATGGCTCAGATGTCAGTATTCTCTCAGCAACCAAAGACAAAACCTATTCTGATGTTTTATGCTGCCAATGGTATACCACTTTTAGTTTATGGACAAAAATACTTTTATGTCTTGACCTCGGGCTTTGTCAATTTTAATTTCACTTTTTATGCATGTAAAGTGTCAACAAATATTATTGGATCTGATTTTCTACATTATTTTGATTTGTTATCTGACTTAAGGAATAAAAAAACTTGCTTAAAAATTAATTACACTATTATGAAAATTGCAACATTAACACATATTTGTATTCTATAAAAGCAAATTAGTGCGAATAGTATATATGATAAATTACTGTCTTATCCTTCACTGTTGAAAACTTCTTGATCTTAATGAAAGTATTAAGGATAATATTTTGAATTTTATTGAAACTGTAGATCGTCCGTCCTGTGTAATGTAAACCTAGGAAATCTGCTTCAGATAGATTAAAAATTGCTAAATATGAAATAAAAAAATGACTAATTTAGGCCACATGCGACTCTCCAAAATACATTGCTGGGTGTGAGAGGAACAGATAAGTCATTTTTGCCAACTTTCATTGACTGAATGCACATTCATCAGCATGCACTGCCCCCTTATAATAGGGAATGATAAAAAAGAAACATAACAGCATGCAATTAATTCAGCTTTAAAATTGATGGTTAAATGCATAACAACAGATTAAATACAATTAATAAGGATTTAACTGTGTGAATGAGTTGAAAAATCACTTTTGCAATATTAAATTTATAGGCATGTCCAACGATGAGGCCCTTGAGTTCAATGCTTTTTCTAGCTCTTTTGTACATTTAAGGAACACTCTTCATCAAGCTGTTGATGTAACAGAGAATGCTAATAAATAGACTGAAAATATGACATTTCTATAATTCTATAAAACACAGCATTGACATTCTTGTCAAACTTGCTAGAAACTGTTCAATAAAAGTAGGAAGTTGTAGATGGCACCCAGATGTGTTCTATATTTTACATTTGGCTGCAATTAAGGCTTGGATTGTGTACAAACAAGCTACGGAAAGCACAAGTCGGAGGAGAGCATTTTTTACTACAACCTGACAAAGAATTTCGAAGAAAACCCATTGCTAGCAACTGCATTTCACACTCTATTCCACAAGTTTCTGGTCAAGAATAAGAAAACATTTTCATGCACAAGGCCAAATTGGAAAACGGGGGGGGGAACCTTATACAGGGTTTCGTTCACATTTCTGCACACGGAAATTAAGTACTTTTAAGGACCATTAATAAAAAAAATTAAGGCCCTATAAGCAAATGGGAACTGGATAAATTCAATTAAAATCTATTACCTATGCCTGAACTTCACTTTTGTAATATCATCCCAAAAATAAAATAGACATATAAGCAAAATGCATTATTATTAATCATAATAAGTTTGAGAATTTACTAACAGCTTTATGTTAATTTTTTTATATCTCATTTTGTCACACACTTGCTCAGTCTAGAGGTTTAAATAGCAGGTAAATTTTATGTTCAGTGTCACAGATTAAAATGAGAAGTGAAATCATAATCAGCATGATTCATAGCAAAAGAGGCTGTTGCCATTGCTGCTGCTTGCCTACAGAGAGACCTGCTGATAAGAACAAACCTGAAAGGCCTGATCTAGGCACGGTTGGCAAGTTTTGAAAGTTAGTTGGGCTCTGTCTGATGCACTTAGTGTTGCAGCTTTCTAGGGGTTGTAACCCAGTTAATATACTTTAAGGTTCCAATAAGACACTAAAGCAGAGTGATGACTTGTTTTATATTATTTCAAGTGTCACTAGATGCGAAGAGCAAGTTTTACATGAATTTTACATTTTTTGTATTTAATTTGGGACCATGGTAAGGATAAATGACAGGCAATAACTCCCTTTAACATGCAGAGATAATTTTTAAGGGTAAGCAGTTAGCTAAACTATAAATAATTTAATTCAATTAGCTAGTTAGATAACCTAAGTTCTTATGGATTTACATGGCCACCATTAAATTTTATTTATTTTTTTAACAATATTTGTTAAAAAAGCCCTATTAAAATCACAATATAATAAAATTTTACAGTTTAAAATACATGCAATTTATGACATTGATTCTTAAACAATATTAGAATTAATTTGAAGCCCTCCACAGACATTTTGGCTAATCAATTTATTTCACTTTAAGAATCTTTTTTAACAATTAGAAATTTGTCTTAATGGGCAAACCAATGTTCTGACTAGTTTCTGTACGCTTTATCTCGTAACTTGTCAAACTCTCAACAATGTACCTATGAGGGTTTATTCGATCTGGTAAAAGTTAAATAGTCCAAAATCCTCACACAGACATGAAGCAAATTGTTGCTATGTCTGAAAGTAACTACAAAGTCAGACAAAGGTCTAAATAAGTCTCTTATTTAAAAAGATTGGATTGGATTATTCAATTTTGGCAAAGCACACGAGGGCTATCTGCCTAAGGGGAGGGATGCCTTCGTGGAGGACTTTCTAAGGGAAACTGGCTCGTATACACGTTACACATGGGGAAAACCACGAAAACACCCATGCAGCCAGCCCGTTCGCGGGATTCGAACCTCGGACCGAACCTACCAGTGTTCAGCGTCTTTACCGCTCGGCCGCTGGTGGGCTCTTATTTAAAAAGAACTAGGGTTTTCAGCGCCCACGGACAACTGAAGATTTCGCGCCCTTACTGCTTGCCAAAAGATGGAAAACATTTAATTCTAAAATTTCGTAATATCAATTTGGCACCCCTTGGATGCTGCGCCCGGGAACAGATGTCCCCCCTTGACCCCCCCCTCTAGCTACACTCCCGATTATTAACTACTTATTTTTATAACTGATTCTTAACATAATATTAATTACAATGATAGTAATGAACTGATATACTGCACTTAAGCTCAGAAAAACTCGAACAAGGTCAATTTATTATTAAAATTTATTAATAATACCAGTAATATTCACCAGTAATATTCACTCTTAGATGACCACCTCAACAGAAAAACAAAACTGTCTGGAACCATGGTTGGTTCTCTCAGAAAGAATTAACTGTATATTGTCCAGCCAGGTTATCTTTTGTAAGCATTCTGCATAATACTGCCTTTTTTCTCTTCCTACATAAGTATTTAATAACTGTCATCGTCTCAAAGGATCTAGATTAGTTTACTATCTGAAATGAGTTTTGAATGACTGTGAATATATAAGCTTAGTTATGCTTATTATTTGTTGCAAGGGTGTCCATATTACGAATAACACATTATTACCACATTGATTGTATACAATAGAATAGCATTTATTAAACAAAAACATTCTTTAATCGTGAACACTTGCTAGTTAGGTATCTGAGAATTACCACTCAATTTTACTGTCATTTAACCATCTCGTTGGTGAGAACGTTGGCTACAGCCCACAACAATAATGACTAATATTACATTTCCAAGGGGGAAGAACTCAACATACAAACAACCAGGCCTTACACTCAGGAATCAAACACTCACCCTCAGTTTCAGGCTGGCAGTTGCCTTAACTTCGTAATCCATACAATCTTACACAATCAGTTATTGACTTATTTTCCTAATATTTTTGGAGTTAAAATATTTGTTTTATACTGGATCTTAAATAAAATTTAAATATAGTCATTTATTAATGGAAAGGAAGAAATATTAGGCAGATTATTGAAAATATTATGCAAATTATAAATTGTTAATTTCAAGATATAAACATTATTTATAAGAAACTGAACACCAAATGAATTAAAATTAATAAATTTGCATCAATAACAATGGTGCAAACAGCTTAATAATATGGGCATATTTTACTCACCTCTTCAATAACATATATACCATAATCTAACTGCTGTCTCTGGAGAATAGGATGCATATTATGAAGAAATATTCTAAGGTGTTCTTCTCTATCTCTGTAAGGAATTATTAAGGCAACTTTACTTCTTGCAAGACAATTGGATGGTTTAAAGCGTCCACCAGGAAGCAAATCATAAAACATCTGTTCTAACTGATCAAATGTTGGTGAATCAGTAAGAACTTTTAATCGACCAACTATAACATTTTAAGAAAGGGAAAAAAATGAATGATTTATCTTTATAATAAACATATATCATATTAAACAAAATTACAAGTATGCCAATAAAATAAAAAAAAATATAGGAACAGAAATGCTCTACATTTTCATAACATTGATTCTTACATATAAGTAAGAATTACCATACCATAAATTACTGTAAATTCAGTTTTAGTTGACGTTTTAGCACAGAACTACTTTTACCTCAAACTTCACTAGCACCTTAGTGGTGTATGGTACAAGTGACACATAATGTTTGAAAAAAAAAAATTCTCAACAAACAAATTTGAAATAAAAAAAATATATTTGCAATTGCCATCAATAATGAGTAAAACATAACAGTGGGAAAAAAATAGAGTTCCCCCTCCAGGTTTGTTGAAATACATGCAAAATACTACATCAGAATTGTAAGCTTTGCATCATACATGATACCAATAAAATACCCTATTTATTACAAGTAATCAAGTCACTGGACAATAAGATCAGTAAAAACTCCAATCAAAAGTTAAGCTTAATGGTACATTTATGAGCGATTTCAGAATAGAAACAGCATAATGAAAGAAGAACGTATACAGGACAAAGTAAGAAATCTGGAATCTTGCATTGTTTGGCAATTCTGGATTTTGGATCACAGTTTAAATCAAGAAAGATGACATGTAGATATGGCAACATTGAGGCTTCACTTATTGTTTACATCAGACAGAAAAATGTTAACACCTACAATCATGCAAGAGCCGAAAGTGTGATCTAGACCAACATCAATACACCAATCAACATACTGTCGCTGACCAATGTGCCACTCCCTAGCCAGCAGATGTTTAAAATGACATGCAGGAATCAGTGTTAGTATGGAAAAAAATTGCATTTACGGCATAACTACTTTTTGTTCGGTATTATATTTTCAGTCATTAAACTCTTTAAGGGAGGAAATATCTTATGTTAGTTTGTTTGCTTATTTATTTGGCTAGTGGTCCAGATTATGAGATCATTTCAAATAGTGGATGTCTGGATCTTGGTACTGCACGAGTGTATATATATATACTTGTACATCAGCTGTAATAATTAATTTCCATGTTACAAAACTGTATGTAATATTTTTTTCTTATCTTTAGATAGAAAAACTAGAGATACAGAAGTAAAATGTACTAATAGGAAAACTACCACAAGTTGTTGATTTGGAAAGTCTGCAGCACATCTAAGCAGTAAAATAAAAATAATATAATTTCATCTCTAATGATAAATGATAAAGTGAAATCATAATTTTGAAAATGAAGCTTGACAGGAGAAACGTTCGAATGGTAAACAAACAAAAAAGGGTACTGGCATATTATTCCGTCAACCCCGAAACTTTTACTAAGCAGTGCGATTTAATGCCAATAATAGATAAGCATGACATTGCAACACATAACAGCTGTAGTTTTGTTTGATGTAACCCGACTGATTCTCAATAAGCCATCCTTTGTTTTTATGAACAAAGATATAAACTAACTGCTATTGTTGCATTTCTTTCTTGCATTAAAAAAAAAATCTGAAAGGTTTCAGATTTTAAGTTATGTCCAAACGGGCATTTTTTTAACGTTTTGTGTGTTACCTTTATTTATTAAATATCATGTTCTTTGCACTTAAACCATAAAATTCAGTTCAATAGCAATGTCACAAAATTATTTTTAAATGAGCATATCTTTAGAATTTCCAATAAACAGTTCCACGCACTGGAGATAAAAAGGTCCCCCCCCCTATAGTGTTGCCATTGCTCGCTTTGAAATCCTTGAGTTTGTTAATCAAAAATTCGTTAAAGTTTTACTAAATATGATTCGATAATAAAACAAATTCCAAATTTCAAATTTGGTCTTCCACATGCCCATATTCATAGGAAGATTACGTCATTCAAAATTCGATGGCTCTATGTACCGTTGTTTTATCACAATGCAAAAAATACATACATTTATGCAGATTTTTCATTATTTAAGTTCTTCAAATACAATGCAGGACTCTAACATTTGGTGGCAACAGTTTGAAAAGTGAAATGGACATTTATACTGATTCAACGCAAAATGAAAGCAATAGTCCTTCGAGGATAAAGCCCCTTTGGAATAAAAAAAGAACTAGAGGGCTGCAGAATCACATTTGTGATGTACTTCATTTACAGCTTGAGAGAATGGCATTTTTTTTTTCCAAGTTTAAAATTCTGAAAAGAAAATACTATCAAATTTAATTCTCTCGTATGTCACCAATTTAGTGCTCCACTTTTTGAGCTGCTACTTTGAGTTTTTTGAGCTCATTCTCTCTAATTCTAGTGCTATGGTTTGCATCAGAATTAGAGAGAATGAGCGTTGAATAAATATTAACAAAGTCACACTTCGGTTTCCTCATCTAATGAAAACACTTTCATGCAAAATGAACCAGTATCTTGGTTGTCTGCAATTTTCATTGGAGATAGAAACATTAACTTCTCAGTACTGTGCCTGTGTAAGGATATACTGATAAAATGAACAATGTGCATTGAAAACTGAATCAATGGTTGTAGAGGCATAATGTCCCACTTTCTTGAAATCTTTTTACAATAAATATATTTATTGTATTGTATTTACAAAAATACACTACAATAAAATATTTACAATAAAATATTTTTACAATAAATAAATATCATTCAGCAAACAGTTTACGGATACCATGTATATGTCACTTAATGACTTTTTTTTTAAATGATGGAAGCAAAACAGATTAGAATTTGAATTAGGCAAAACCAATACACTGAAAATCTTCTGTTTCCCTTGCTAGCAAACACATAATACCGGTCTGGTACAAAAACTCAGTCCTTTCTCCTTCCCCCCCCCTTGTCTCCAAGTCTTGAAATCAACTCTTAGTAATAAAAATTGGGGGGGGAAGAGGACTGAGTTTTTGGTAAGTCTTGAATTCAGCTCCTAGTAACAAAAGTTTTTAACATGCTTCAAATAATCTTTTGGAGAATTGATAAAATTAGTAAATATTGGATAAAAACTTCATATGAATATTAACAGAAAAAAATAATTACTATACCAAATTTCATAACAGCATGTAGAAAAGCATTAAATGCTGGGAAAAAAAGTATATAAATAAGTTGTAAAAACACAGCTTTAAAAATTCAACATTGTATAACTTTTCAGGAACTAACATCTTAATGTAAATCAGTATGCATATACATTTATGGATAGATATAAAGACCAGAATGATATACAGTTCAAAGTCTGAAATCCGGACGTCCATTATCCGGAATGATCTAAAATCCAGACCCCAAAGTCACACTTTTTTTATTAATGCTTTACGCACGCGCATTTGATTTTTAATTCCATAATAAAACATGCGGAGATTTTCACTTAAAAATTCCGATTCTTAATTTCACTTGGGCACTAAATAAAATACCTCGTTATGGAAAAACAAGCATGTACGCATAAATATGCGAGATTAATAATTTGGCTCTGGAGCTGAGTGTCCACTTGGCATACATCTCAAACAGAAAAATTCACCTATTTTATATCTCTGATGCTGACCTGGCGAGTCATTATTTATTATATTTTGCTTTCATCAACGCATGTTTATCAATACATGACAGCTTTAGTAATAACTCCCGCTATGATGTCTAAACTTTTTTTATATTAGTAAGTGATTAACAAGAGTATGGCAACCTTTTATGCTAACATTATGCTTGGAGATGATTATAGATTTTTAAAAGGTCTAAGAAATGTTGACGAGAAAAAATTCAACAAAGATTTCTTTTCATATGCTAAAAATATATTTTGTTAATGAAACTCATAGGCCAAAAGATTAATTTAGTGCTATTTTAATTAAGAATTACTAACATGTTATTCACCATAATCCCAGAAACGGCAACAGAATATTGTCATCACTAGACAGCAGAATTTAGGGAAGACGAAATTTTTGGAATTTGGGGAAGCACCGAGTGGCGAAATTAAGGGATAAGAGGTGTTTATGATTTAGGGAAAGCACTGGGATCCAAAGTTTAGGTGCGGTGAAAATTTAGAACTCAGGATGTTCAGTCTTACCTCCTTGATATATGAACTGCAAAATGTAGAAAATGCCTCCAGAGAGCAGTGCTGTGCAAAAAGGGAAAATCCCAGAATGCGTTCTCACTTTGGAGAAGTGAGATTTCCCGCCTTTGTGGCGAAAGTAATTACAGAGATGTCAAATAAAACTACAGTCCTAAACTTTGTATGTTTTTTCGAGATATTGAGAAGTTGTGATTTATAATATGAACTTTTTTCATAGGAAGGCGCTTTGTAGCAGAATTTGGAAACCGTAGAGACTGCACCAGGCGGTATTTAGCGCCAGCACTAGATAAAGCGTTAAGTACATATAGATATGTGGGAGTTTATTTATTCAGGACTCGGATTAGTTAAGCATGTGCAAGAAATAAACGTAGGTATAGTAAATAACTAAACTAATACAATTTAGGCTTAATTCAGTACGCAATAGGAGCAAGAAAAAATTTAGCGAAACAACCTGGCTTTCATCACCAATCTAGTGATACACAGCCAATACAGTATAACGGATGCTATTAAGCTAGGCTAAAATTATCTTTACTGATTATAAGGCATTTCAGTTAATGTAGTAAACTGCACTTCTCCCTGATCTTCTAATTTGATCCAGCTTATTATTTTCTGCAGGCTGCTATTATTACAGCAATTTTATAAAAACTAAGCTTGAACTTTTGATTATGTTGAAAAGAGTTTCCAATTCTGGAGTTGCCAAAGGATCTATCTACATAACGAAACCATGTTTCGATGTTCATTAAACAAAAAGTGGAATTACTGCAAAAAATGGATAAAGGCTTATCCGTCTCTAAATTATGCAAGGAGTATGGCAGTGGAAAGTCCACTGTATATGTATGACACAAGAAAAAAGAAAAAGGAACTTTTTGAATTTTTTGTGGAAGAATCTAAACAACTTACATTGAAAGAAATGCTTAACCCGCGAGCACACGCGGCGGGTATGTCATACCCATGTGCATTTTTCTTTTTGTATATTTCTCGCCCATTCTTTCATAAAAGGACGAAACTTGGTGCAGCTGAGTTCAAGGTCACATACTTAAATGGGGGAAATTCCTGAGGTGGTAAGTCCAGAATTGTTCGGGCATGTCCGCGCGTGTACTGGCGTTTCTCAGTGAGTCACTTCGCACTTCTCGTTTTCAAGCTTTTAGTATAAGTTTTTCTTGAGTTGTAAGCATGGCGCCGTGTATTCCTTACGATTAAGAGATGAAAAGATTGAGAAATCTCCTTGAAACAGGTTCTTCTGATGAGGATTCATTTAGTGAAGAAGAGGAAGATGTTGATGACGAAGAATATAATTAGTAATCATGATTCATCCATATAGAGTAGTGATTCAGATACAGAAACAGAAAATGAAACTCTGGAATGTAGCAATGAGTTTTATGTTGGGAAAAAATGGAGTAAAATGGAACAAACAAATAAATTCCGGACTAATGTTAGAATTGGCGCCAAAAATATTATAACTAAACTCCCTGGAAATACAAAGTATTCTAAAGACGTCTCAACACCATCTAGAGTCCTTGTTCATTGCTTATCGATGAAGATAGTATGTTAAAACATGTAGTTGATAAATACAAATATTTATATTGATTCAATACGAGAAAATTTCACTCGTGAAGCGGGATGAGTACTTTTCTCAAAGCCTTAGGGATGCAAGCTAATAGAAAATGTTCAAAATGAACGACGACGAGCATCTGTGGTTCCCTGATTCTGGACGAAACACTGACCACCGATGAACATGTTAACAATAAACCGCCCTCCAAAAAACCTAAAATGACTTACAAGAGGTGTACAGAGTGCTCCAAGAAAAACGATAGAAAGACTAGATTCATTTGTGAAAATTGTAGCAAAAGTATATGTGTACGGAACATATGACCTCATTTTGTAAAGAATGTTCAAAAAATTGTAAGTAAATAATTTTTCCTCTCCTTATTGTTTCCTATTATGTCTAAAATGAAGTATTAACTTGGTTTTACATTTTAGTTTCTTTTAAAAAACCAATTAATTTTTTCAACAAATTTTTAATTGCAATTTTTTAATTCGGGTATGACATACCCGGCGCGTGTTCTCGTGTTCGTCGGATCGGTGCATGTGCTCGCGGGTTAATAAAGTAAACAAATAAATATTAAGCTTTCTTTTGTAAATTTTGATACCCTTTAGATTATAATTGTTCTTTATTTCATAAATTGCGATTTCATATTTTTAATGTATAATTTCTGCATGCCATCTTACCAGGTTTAAATTGATGATCTATTATCCGGAAAAATCCCAAATCCAGAATCGCCGAAGTCCCGACCAGTCTGGATTTCGGACTTTGTACTGTATTACAATAGCTTTATTGAACAAAACAAAAGTAATGAACGTTTAACATACCTAAATTTGGTGGCACTAGAGGGCACTCTTTGAGGGATTCTTCATGACTAGCATTAGCTTGCTCTGTAGCTACAGATAATTTTTTTACTTTAAACAAGTCAGATTCTGAAGCATTTGACGTGTTTTTAAAATCACTATTTACAGCAGTAAATTCAGCTTTTGTCACAGGCTGCTGAAAACTATTCTTAACAGTAGAAGTTTTATCATTTAGGCCAAATTTCTGGTTTAAAGAATAAGAAATCCAAGCAAGGGCTGGAGCTACCATCTTGTTCAGTGGCTGTCTACACATCAATAAGTTTGTACCATACTGTAAAAAAATAATCATGAGTAACACTAGAATCACAGTTATGCATAAATGAGTGCGCCACAACTGGACAGGGGAACAGCCCTGCAGCACTGTTCCAACTTTGCACATCTCTAAAAGCCTTCTTGAAAATTTTAAGTGATTTCATGAACAGCTTGCATGCATTTTTTCAAAAAAGATGAGCATGAAACTAATTGAGATGATGTTCATGTTCTTCTTAGCAACTCTCTTTCGTAAAGGAATATTCAAGCACACACACTTGAAAATCTGTTATAAATCTAGCTCTCATCTTCACAAAGCATCATAATTCTGCAAAAAATACATTTTTAGATATAATAAACATATTTTTGAAGTAATAATAACATCTAAGGAAACTTAATAAATTGTGTTATTTGTTAATGAAGAATAAATTATAGAAACATTCATACAAACAATTATATCAAAATACATTTCTTAAAAAAAGAAAAGTAGGCAGAATAATAAAAAAATAACCAGAAATATATTTTAAAAGAAAACCTGATAAAACCAATTAATAAATGATAAAATACTACTTTTGAACATTGTTTAACATTTATACCATATTTTATCACATATCCCCCGCTTATTTTGCTAATTTTAACAGACAAAAATTGAGAAGGGAAAATTATGCAAACAGCATGCAATGAATAAGACAAACAGTATGCAGTGATTTTTATTTCTGAAGAACACAGTTACACTAAGAACACAACAAATGAAAAGTATTTATCATTAAACTACTCATAACTATTATATTATTTATTTGAAAGAAACCTACATTCCAGTAAGATTACCTAGCAATATTAACATTACAATATCTAATACGTTCATTCTACTTCCTCTACCTCGAATCTCACCTATTCTTATTGTATAGACCATGCTACCCCTATGTTTCAAATCATTAACCAGTAACCTTCATGGTTTGATGGGATAATACGTAAGTACCCATTTGTATTATTCACATTCAACCAGTAAATTATGAGACTAATGGTTGCAACTATACCCTGGCAATTTATCATTTATCCCTACAATAAAAACACTTAGTCAACTAAAAATTTAAAATCTAATGTAAACAATGTAAATAAATTCGTGTGGGAGGTGTAATATGACAGTTTGCTTCAGCAAAATACAATATGCAATTACACTTCCGTATCAGTAGTCCAACTTTTCACGTCATGGGAAAAGAAATCCACTACCACCATCAGTGGTTCAAAGCAACAAAGAAAAAAGGGTTTCATAAATTTTGAAATGTAAACAAGATGACAAAGCAACAATACAACAATTTTAACATGCTTAATACAGCTTTCCAGAGCATTCATATGCTTGTTTTGGACAGATGCAACTAAACATGGTCACTGCAAAAACTTTTGTTAATTCTGAGACTAGAGGAAACTCCCAAACTCTGAGCTCACACCCCAATTTGAGAGTCGTAAATATTCTGATAGGCAGTCTTGCTATCAGTGATCTAAGAGTGTTTAACATCTTAAACTATTTTTGCTTGCTTATAGCATTCATACTATTCTCATTATTAACATATTGCTGCAGCTCTCCTGTCCTTAAAGGTTTAATTTATGGTAACAAGGGCCCAGAATATGTGACCAGTGATGGCACAAAATGCCTGGAAACTATTCTATTACATTCAAATAGCCACTGCAAAGCCATTCTTCATGCAAAAATCCTAATCCATAATCACAGGAACAATTGCTGTGGAAAAAAGTTTAAATTATCTAATTTGCTAAAATCTCCTAATACACTCTATGAGATGGTGGCAACACACACTACAATCTAAATGAGAGAAGTGCCACTACGATCTTGAAGTTATTATTTTAAAGTAACAGATTATACATATTTATATTTTTTCTAAGAAAATAGCTGATTCTTATTTCTACCATACTTTGAAACAATTTGTTATGATGTACCATACGAAGTCTGCATATCTTCCTCTCTTTCCAGTGCATAAGTTAAAAATGCTTGAAATTTTTTCTTTCAAAGGTATAATAGATAGTATACCTTAATTTAAAATTTAAAACTATTGTTACTTTGTGGTAGGAATGTTGTACTTATAAAATTTATCAGTTAAACTTGATTAAAATTATATACCTTAGATGAATATACTTTTCTTATACAGTAAAAAGTCAAATCCAGAATGATCTATAATTCGGACCTCAAAGCTACAAACTTTCTGCGCATGTGCATAATACCTTTACGCATGCGCATAATACGTTTATGCATGCATGTTTAATGTATAACGGACGGTATAAGCTAGGCTAAAATTATCTAATTAGCTATTTCAGTTAATGTTGCAGATTGTGTTGTTCCTTAATCTTCTAATTGAATCCAGCTTATTATTTTTTGCAGACTGTTAGAGCAATTTATAGAAAGTAAGCTTGAACTTTCGATTATATCAAAAAGAGTTTCCGATTCTGCAGCTGCCAAAGGATCTACAAAGCGAAAGCATGTTTCGATGTCCATCATACAAAAAGTGGAATTGCTGCAAAAAAATGGATAAAGGCATGAAGAAAGTGACAGAGAGGTTAGTGAAAACGAAACAATTTCGATTGACAAGTTAGTCGGTATTCTCGGCACAGCAATTACAGGATTTGAACAGTGGAACTTTGTAACTGAACAAGAAATTATGTCTGTTTATAGAAGAAAGAATTAAAGAGAAAGTATTAGCATAAAAACGAAGCAACTTAAACAACTTGCATTGAAAGAAATGTTTAATAAAGTAAACAAATAAATATTAAGCTTTTTGTTTGTAAATTTTGATACCCTTTAGATCATAATTGATTTTTATTTCATAAATTACGGTTTCATATTTTTAATTTTATAATTTCTGCATGCCTTCTTACCAGATTTAAACTGATGATCTATAATCCGAAAAAATCGATAATCCGGAATCGCCGAAGTCCCGACAAGTCCGGATTAACGACTTTTGACTGTACTATGATTATTTTTCTGTTAAAAAGAAAACTTGATCATGAAACACTAAAAGAGTGGACGATAGAGCATTCGAACAAAAAAATTTCTGCTTTCGGTGAATTCAGGCATTTTATTTTAAACAGAGCGAATGCTATTGCCTCTTTGGCAAAGTGCCAGAGGGAGAACGCAGTTTTGCCTTCTGAAATTAAAACTCGCAGTTCAGGTAGCAGATACGCTTTTTCATCCCAACTTGTGGCTAATGTATGCATTCATTGTAAGAGTAATTCTCATTCTCAGTTATTTAAATGCGATAGTTTTTTAATGCGATAGTTTTTTACAACCCCCTATCAAAGAAAAATGGGATATTATTAAAAGGAATAAATTATGTGCTAATTGTTTGAAAGATAGTAAAACGCATCCCATTTTTAAATGTCGTGCAGGCATGTGTAAATATTGTTCAAAGCCACATAATACAGTGTTATGTTCGAAAAATTCAAATGATGAAAAATGTCATATACCCATGGAACACGGAACTTCTGCTATTAGTAGCAATAACGCCACGGTGCCTGTCACGCAAGCAGTTTTATTGCCTACTGCGGTTGTTTATGTTAAAGATATTAATGGCGATTTACAAAAATGCAGGATGCTAATTGATTCAGGTAGCCAGGGCTCATTTATTCGGGAGCACTGTGTAAATTTACTGCAGCTAAAGCGCACTAGTGCAAACATAAGTGTAAATGGCCTGAGCTCGCAAAAAATTGGAAAGGTTTCAGGTTCAGTTCAATTACAAGTAACATCTCCATTTTATAAAAACGCAAGCATTTCAGTTAATGCATTAATTATACCCAAGATCACGTGTGACCTTCCTCAATATCAAGTTGATAGATCTGTTTTGACATCTTTCAAACATTTGTGGTTGGCAGATACAAATTGTTTCCAGCCTGGCCCAATAGATATTCTTTTAGGCGCAGATGTATTTGGCGAGATAATGCTTCATGGACGTTTAACTGTTCCGGGTCATTCGTTAACAGCCTTGGAATCAATATTCGGCTGGGTCATTATCGGAAAGACTAAAAGTGTATCACAAACAATTGTATCTAATCATGCTAGTTGTACCAATGTTCAGTTCCAGCTTGAAAAATTTTGGAAATTGGAAGAAATTTCGGAGATATAAAGCATTACACAGAAGAAGAAATTGAGTGTGAAAATCATTTCAAGCGGAATTTTTCTCGTGATTCAACAGGTAGATTTGTTGTTAAGTTTCCATTTCGTAGATCTAGCAATGAACTTGGGTCATCAAGGGATGTTGCTGTACATCGTTTACAAAGCACTGAACGTCAATTTATTAAGAATAAATCTCTTTCCAGTCAATATCACAAATTTATGGAGGACTATCAACAACTTGGTCATATGGAATTGATTCCAGAAAATGAAATTGATGTTCCAGCTAATTCTAGTTTTTACCTTCCGCACCATTCAGTTCCGGATAAAAATGGTGATAAATTTCGAGTCGTATTTGATGGTTCTGCAAAATCTTCTAGCGGTATTTCTCTTAATGAGAAATTGATGGTTGGTCCACAGTTGCAGACTGATCTGACAACATTAATTATTCGTTTCAGAATTCACAGAATAGCTATAACTGCAGATATAGAGAAAATGTACAGACAAATTATACTAAAAGATGCAGACTTTCAGAGAATAGTCTGGCGCGATTCACTTTATAAACCAATTCAGGATTTTCGATTAACTAGGATTGCTTACGGTACTGCATCAGCACCGTACCTTGCGGTAAGATGTTTACAGCAGTTAGCCATAGATGAAGCAACTAATTTTCCTTTGGCTTCCAAGACATGTCTTAGGGACTTCTACGTTGATGATTTGATGTCCGGAGCCAGTTCAGTTACTGAAGCTATAGAATTACAAATGCAATTGAATCAGATGTTGTCACGTGCAGGATTTGTTCTAAGAAAATGGGCTTCTAACAGCAAAGAAGTCTTGAATTCAATTAATCCAGATTTGTGCTTATCAAATGTTTCTTTGAACATAGACAATGATGATACTGTAAAAACGTTAGGTATCCTGTGGCATCCAGCTTCAGATATGTTTTTATTCAAAGTCAATTCATCATATCCTGAAGTCTTAACCAAACGAACATTACTTTCAATAATCGCAAAGACCTTTGACCCTCTTGGATGGTTGGCACCGATCACGGTTCGGTATAAATTGATTATGCAAAGATTGTGGAAACATCATTTGCAGTGGGATGAAAAGGTTCCTCCAGATATTGCACATGAATGGAAACAACTTACAGAAGATATGTTATTTATTAAAAGTATCAAAATTTCACGATTCTTGTTGGTTGAATCAGATAA